AGTTCGTGAGTTGCCGAGTTGGCCGTTTAGATTTGGCGATGTCTATATTAGAAACATTTGTGGTAACATCGCATATGGATTTAAAAATCGTTTCGACCGATTGTATTTAGCAAACGTCGTGTATTTCGCGGTCACGACCACACAATTCGCTTTCGGAAATTTAAAGTGTTTATGATTGAAACTTAGCGATGTCGATTTGAAATATTTAACGAAGTATTAGCAATTAACATATCATGATTATTTTATCTAAACTCTAAAAAACAGTTTTGGCCGACATAGAATTTGCGTCATGTATTTCGCGCCTGCACGCGCGAAATTTCTGACCCGTTATGGCTTGGTCAGGTATTTCGCAGAGGTCAGGAATTTCGCTTGACACCGGGGGTGCGGGCCACTTTGATTTTATCAAACATGGCCGTGCAAAGGGGCGATAGAAGCTTTTGCGACTGAAACCAGAGACTGAAACTATGATGATAAACTTTTCAACTGACAGTGGAAATAAATATATAGTCTGCGATGTTCTTCAAAAAAATATGGAATATAATCAACAGCAATACTTGTCGAAGATCAAGATTCAAAGAGAAGAGTCTAAACACTGACTGACAACAGTAAATATTTCTTTTCAGCTTGGAAGCGTGTTTTATAATATTTGTTGTTTGGGAGTCAATAACATACTGTCACTACTGTCAGTGAAGAATTTGATTTGGGACTTTGATGTACCTTTATGAAAAGATTTACTACTGAATACAAATGTGCATGTAAAATGTGATTAGAACGTTTTAATATGAACAGTTGCACTGTCATTGACTCAATATATTTTAATGTGGGACTGGGACAAACAAACAAAAACAAATACTGTGCGAAGTGACAAAATTCCATGCCGACCATGGGTTACGTATGTATGCATTTTTATTAAACGTTTATACCAATATACATTATTTTAAACCTTTGTGTGTGAATTTGGTGTGTTGATTTTATGATATTTGACAACCATGAATATTAATAATATAATATGTTAACAGCAAGTTTACAGTATATCGTATAATACAAACCTTAAAAGCAATATCACAAGACTCAAGTACTGTACATGGTCTAATAGATGTTTCTTAGTCAGCAACTATGCTCTTTGACATTGTGGCAATCAGGTATTCTTGGGGCTTTTAGCTTGGTTTTTCACTTTTTTGATACAACTATAGAATACCCACAACTTTCACACCTTACCACTATTAGTTCCTTGTAAACATTGTCAATTTACTCAAAATTGATCTAATATGATTGCCTCATTCTTCAAAACCCCCCAGTCAAATTTGAACCAAACTAACATACTCATATGATTTAATCTCTAGACTTTACCATTAAACTATTTTGAAGTGATTCTTGTACTTAATTATGTGTCAATGAATGCAGAAAAATGGCGAGGTATTCTATAAGCATTGATTCCGGCATGTGTGTTTTTGAACCTTCACTGTTGAGAGAGCATGCCATGGGTCTCCCCAAATTATCTGAGTACTTCAACCAGACCAACAGCTGCCAAATGGCAACTACTATGCTCAGAGGTGTAACTTACACTTGCCCGGGGCAAGTGAATATCATGACGGGCAAGTAAAAGATTCCTCTTGGTTGCCCGAACGGGCAAGTTGCTTTGCCACAAAAAGCTGGCCAGCTTTCAGTTTATATAATTATTATTGTCGGATAGAATAAAGGCTGTTCGACGACATTGGTTCAAGCTGGCAAATTATCTGCATCAAATTCATCTAAATTGTTTGATTATATTATGCATTGATTCTCTTTTTGGTTATTAAATGTTTATTCATGATATGATAACGAAATATGGCAGGACTTAATTTATGGCAGGACTTAATTTATGGCAGGACTTAATTTGGGACTTTATTAGTCCTGTTGTCTGTGCCTTCAATTTCTTATTGTAAAACTAATAATAAAAAAAAATAATGGTGATTAGTGTTACATTAAATAAGTGTACTTGATTCAAATTTTGTTTAATATGTGAGCCAAAGCTAGATCTGAGGTAGTCTAGATCTGAGGCAGCAACATAGCCAATGCCACTAGTCCAATGAGTGGATATGTTGTCTCTCTAATTTATACTGGTCCGCATAGGTACCCCATTGCCTGATGGCAAGTGGATGTTATTCAGGGCAACCAATTTTTATGTCCAACTTGCCCTGAGGGCAAGTGGTCAAAAAAGTTAAGTTACACCACTGATGCTGTATACAAATTATAT